TTTCCCAGCAGATAAACGAGATCCTGTGATCAGCGAGCCTTCGCCTCCGGCAGCCACTGCAGAGCTGGCGGCCTGCAATAAAGATTCTTTTACTTAGCTCAGGATCCTGTAACCCGCAGGGCTCCCCACGGCCCCACCTCCTTGGGTAGGCTGGCCCAGGTTTCTTAACAGGTGGTCTCTGGGCTCTGAACAGCAGCAGGAGCCCGCAGCCGCTGGCAGGCGCACATTTTCCCAGCCTCTGTCACTCACTGTGGCTCCACCTCCAAAGCCAGTTACAGGTTCAGCTGAGTCAGACCAATGGGAGACCACCTAGGGGTGTGGTTCAGGATGTGTGTGCAGGAACCTGGGGCAACGATCCCTTACCTCCGACATGCAGAACGCACCCCTGCCCCCCAGCTCCCCACAGTTCTCACCCAGCACCGCCCTGGTCCCCAGACCCAGGTGCCCATGACTGTGGGCAGCAACCCGTGGAGCTGTGGGGGACAGCGTCCTCGGGGTCTCAGCAGCCCTTTTGTGCAGCTGAAACTCTGTGAGGCACCCCCGATGCTTTCTTAGTTCTTGATAAAAGACCCTACAGCTGTACCTTGAGTTGACATTCCTTCTCCCTGGGCCATTTCTCCCTGAGGGCTGTCTTCCCATCAATGATGTGTGAAACGTGGAACAGCTTTATTTTTAAACCCAGAAAGTCCAGGCTTCCCAACATGCCTTCCAAAGTCTGCTAACAGGCTAAAGAGTTCCTTCTTTGGCTCATCCCTCTTCCCCCAGTAACACCCGGCCACGCAGCCTGGAGACCGACTCTCAGCCAGACCCTGCCATGAACGGGGCACAGCTTGGTCTTCCCAGTTACTCCAGGTGCCTGGCGTTTCACGGTCGGGCTCCGCTTGTCGCTTGTCCTGCCCAGACCAGCAGGTTCCTCACTCCTGTCCCACCCCCTGCCTGTGCCCAGCCCTGAGGCCCGTCAGGGGGGAAGGAGCAAAGCCCTGTTCTCTCTGAGGACGGAGAGATCCGGAAGCCCATCTGTGTCCCCGTATTGCTAAGAGACTCCTGATGGCCACTGGAAGCAGACACACAGGTGGCCGATGAAGTTTAAGCGGCCACACCCAGCGTTGCCCCCGGTCTGTCAGGCTGTCTCTCCAGTGTCCCGAGTGCACAGGGGAGCCTGTGAGGAGAGCCTTCCATTTTAGCCAACTTCCAGGAAGGGGTTTAGACAGAGTTTGCTCACTCACTATTAACAATCCCCTGGGAGATGATGGCACTGGCCGAAATGTCGCTAAAATAAATATTGAAAGATGAGTCACTCCTAAATGCTGCTGGAAAGAAAGATGTGAGAAAATGAGACAGGCCGTGTTCTCCTTTCACTTTGGGTCTGAATTTGGTACCAGCCTGGACGGCACCTACCGTGGAGCAAAGGAAGGGGGTACGGCGTCAGGCCACAGAGCACGAGGAGCTGCAGGCGCCACCAGGGAGCAGTGCAGCGGGCTCAGGGAACGTGCCCTGCGCTGGCATGTGCCACCCGTTTTCCAAATGAAGGAAGGCAAGGACCACTGAAGACCCTGGGGGAAGGGCCGGGTGCTGTGCCTGAGGGCATGGCAGGCCTGGGCACCTCAGTCTTCGAGTTCTGGACCCTGCGAAGGTGACCGGGGGTCCCAGGACGCACTGTCTGTTCACCAGAGCTGGGGGCAGTGGGGCTGTTACCAAGCGGATTGGGCCACCCACTGCCTGCAGCCACACCAGTTTGATTTTGGCCAAACTACACGAAAAATAAGAAAGAATTAATCCACTGCCTTCCCACCCCTGAACCTCTGCTCCCACACCTGTACAGAGGATGACTTCGGTCTCACACAGTCCTGAAAACAGGGCGACGGACGCCAGTGCTCCTTTAAGGCCGCACACGCCCATCGAAGGACCAGGTAGTTCCCAAGGGCTGTTCGTGGATGTGCTGTTTGAAGAACTCATATTTTATTTGGTGCTTCGGCGAAACCCGTCTTTGGAAAAGCCCTCCAGTGTTCGCCAAAGGCAGCTCCAGAAACAGAGCTGGGGGAAGAAGTTTTTTGTTTTCTGTTTTGTTGTTTTTTTTCATAAGCTTTGACATTTCATCCTATTTTAAGGTGCCCCTTCCTCCTCCCTTTTCTGACAGGCTTATCTGCATTCAGTCGTTACCTGTCAAGACAGTTTCCTTTGGCATGAATAAATACAGCACAATTAGCTTGAAGACGATCCTCTTAATTACAGTTGTGGAGTTGCTTTATTTACTCAGCCTTCACATCCAGGGAGCCCAGCACGACCTGCCAAGTCAACTTCAAACACAAAGTCTGCATTCACTGGCGATGCCTCTGATGTGCTCAGCTCAGGGCGGCTCTGTCTGATTCCTTGTGACAGGTTTGCAGGGTTCAAAGACATTCAGCTGTGTTGACTCCGAGGATGCAGGGATGCTTCAGAGCTTCCTCCTGGAAGGGCGGCTTCTGCAGAATTAGAGGTGGGACCAAAGGAGCTGGGGAGCAGGGGGCCCCACCAGCACCCTGCACGTGGCCAAGGAGACTTCAGACAGAGAGCACCACGGTGTGCTGGAAACCAAGGGGCCTCTCTGGCTCCGAGGCTGCCTTCTAGGGCAGGGTTTCGGTGATCAGAGCCCAGCATCTCAGTGGACAGATCCGCTGCGTGCCTGCCGGGACCATCCTGTTTATGGGATGGCACAGAGAGCCAAGGTGGGGCTGGCTGTCAGTTTTTCCCCAGGAGAGTTACCATGTTTTTGGCATCAGCTGCTTTTATTTAAGCCTTTGTTGTGTTGTGTTGTTATTATTTTGAAATAGATAATGGTTTCCACAGATGCTCCCGTCCTTTCCTCACCCCCTCCCCTGAGCACTGTCCCCATCCGGCTCCTCACCCCCACCTGCCTGAGCCTGTGCTGACGTCTGGGAACATGGCTAAAACACACGCATTGCACCGTTGTGGGGTCCAGTGATCCACAGCATTTAGGGAGGTTTTCCTTTCCTCTTGATTTCTTTTGCATAACTGAGAACATTTTATTTAATGTTTCCTTTCCATCAAAAGAAGACAATGGCACCATCTGGGGGCTCAAGTGTGACAAAGGGGGACGTCCCAGAACGTAGGACCCAGAGCCGAGACAGGTGAGGAAATGAAGAGGTGGCTGCAGGGTTTGCGGCCTGGACAGAGCCCTGGCAATGCACAGGGACACACTTGCAGACGCTTCATGCTGCCCCAAGAGCAGGCACTTTGCCCCTCCAGGTTGCCACACTTGGCTTTGGACTGTAGCCCCTAAACATTTACTGGAAGAAAAATTGTGGTGCAAATAAACTAGCAACTTGATGAACGTGATTCTGAAACATCCTGCTTCAGCATTCAGGAAGCCTGGGCTGGCCTCTGCGGCAGCGATGGCTGGCCCACGCACCACCCCTCAAGGCTCAAGTGTTGGAATACGGGCACCACCTGGCGCAGGCGGTGGCACTGGAACATCCGAGAGACAGATGCCCGCTTCCCAGACAGCTCCTGTCTGGCCCCAGCTGGTCCCTCTGTCTCGATTTCCCACCTGTGTGTTGAGGGAATCTGAACAAAGGTCCCCCCCGAGGTCTAAAATTCTCCAGTTCGAGCACTCCCAGCTTCAGCATCCCCCACTTGCCTCTGCCCCCCATTGCTCTGGATGAACAAAGGCAATGCGGAAATCTGGTGGGGGTAGCAGGAGGGTCTCCTCCCAACACCAGTGGGTCACGTGTCAGTGGCTGATACAGTTGGTAGTTCTGTAATCCAGGTCAGGAAATAACCGAAACCCGAGGTCGACGTCACCAGGACACGTGAGCAGGGTGCTGTTGTCAGGAAGCATTTTGATGATTGGGCGCTTGGCCGTGGAGGTTAGTGAGTGACCTCCCCATTTGGAGAATTGGCCTGTGCTGCCCCCTAGTGTTGCCTCTGGGCTCTGCACTTGCTGGGCAAAGGGGTCTACCGTACTTCCTGCTCATGTTTTACTGCTTCATTTTCCAGCACTGCTCTGTGGGATAGAAATGTCCACAGGTTTTAGTGACCGTGTGTGAGGGGAGACCTCCACGGCGAAGCAGGTCACCGCCACAAAGTTGTCAGGTGCTTTATCAAAGACCTGGCAAGCAGAGGAAGGGTGAGGGAGAATCGGAGCTCTCTGCCCAGGCACCAAGTCGGGCCTGTGTTTCAGCCGCAGTGGGGACAGGTGCTCATGTGTTGGAGGGAAGCTCAAGGGCAGGACCCAGGTTCACACCTGAATCTGGTGTGTGGGCCACAGCGTGAAACCATTTCTACTTGTTGGAGGTCTGTGTGACTCTGGAGTTCTGTCCTTGACCTTGAGCTCAGGTCACGTGTGGGGGTGGCACCGAAGCTCATAGTGGCTGCTGACCTCGGACCCCAGGAGTCCCTGGGGACAGGTGGGAAGACACAGCCCTGGTGGGTGCCAGACAGGGCTCCTCAGAGCCTGGCCCCCTAGAGTGGGGGTGGCAGCCTTGCCTAGGAATTTGTTTCCAGAGCGAACTTTCCAACCGGCAGCCAGAAGCTCTGGGGGAGGGCGGGCACCTGTGCTAGAGGCCCTACAGGGATGGTCCTGAGTCAAAGCCACGCCAGGTGCCGTGGGCAGGACACAGGTCACAAGCTATTTAGAACAGCTGGCTTAACTGCTCACTCTGAAAAGGGCTAGAAGGAATGAGAGTGGCTCTTTGCAGGTCACGGTTGTGTTTCTGATTACTTAGAATTAATTAACTCAAATGGTTGCAGATTTGGCCCGTGGGTAAGGCCCCCAAGTGGGACAATCTTGTGAAAATGGCAGCGTGTCAGGTATCACCAAACTTTAAATACCATTTGTCCTGTTCAGAAACAGTGTGGGGAGCTGCATGTTACTCACACAGTAACTTCCCCACTGCCCTCCGCAAGAGAGTGTGTGTGAACACGGGCCGTCAGGCTGACCACGAATGAAATACATGATACGCGTCCACGCACACACCATGAATCGCATCTCTACCTTGCAGGTCCCAATTGCTTTGCGGAGACAGCTGTGATCCCCGCCGGGAGAGAGGTGAAGACAGACGAGTGCACCATCTGCCACTGCACCTACGAAGAGGGCACGTGGCGCATCGAGAGGCAGGCCACCTGCACGCGGCACGAGTGCCGGCAGATGTAGCCCCGGGCCGTGGGCCGCGCCGGCCTCTGCCGCAGAGGGCACTCCTGTGGCGGACGCGCGGGCTGGCTCTGTGGGCGGCCCCTGGGGCGGAACGGACTGTGGATGGGGAACCGTGGAAAACTGTGGGTACTTTTGCATTTCTTGGTCACAGCCACTGCAGGAGGAGGAAGTGTGTGCATTTCAAAGCACCTCCGGGAACTCAAGGCTCGAGGCCCCTCCCTGAATAAATGTGCATTTTAGCGGTGAGTAGCGCAGTGCGCTGTTGCGCATGCACGGTGTTTGCGTGGTCCCTCTGTCAAAGAGCTCACACAGGGGTGTTCTAGAGATGCCGATTAAAGATCCGTGCTGCCAACCGTCCCCGCCGTGGACCTGGTGTCTTTTCCGGCTCTAACCCCGTCACCGGTGTAGCTGATTCCCTCCCCACCACAGGGCTGTGCGTGCATCGATGGATCCTGAAATAAGAGGGCTGATTTCTCCTGAAATCCTGTTCCCATTCCGTTCCCTTTCACAGCTGGGTCTAGCATCTCTCCTCGGAAGATCCTCTCTAATTCACTGCCCCCTGGACCACTTCCTGCTTTTGTAAACTCCGTGCTCTGTCGTGTGGGCAGTGTGGTTACCAGATAACTTAAGGGGCACTTTTGCCGTCTGTGCAAGGGCCCTACATTGGAGGGACAAAGGTATGTTTCATTTTCACTGGCATTACTGTCCCTCCTCCCCAGGACTTTAGACTGTCCCCTGACTGAGGGCCAGGTGGGCTGGACGGTGTGCGTCATGGTGCCATCAGGCTGGCGTAGTGGTAAAATCGGGGCCCCCTGGCATGTCTGGGGGGAAGTTAAGGCAAACGAGCTCCCCAGCGAGTCTGCACCTCAATCTGAATGTGGGACAGGAGCCTCAGCACTCCCCTCGGGGGGCTCTCATGTCTCCTCAGCATCACTGTCCACCTGTGTGATGGGCACCTGTCAGTCATGCCTCCACAGCAGGGGGACAGGGCAGTTTTTCCATCCAGTGGGCTCGAACAAACAATGCGGAAGGCCACCTGCCCCCTACATCTGTCCCGTCATTGTGGGCCACTCATTCCAAGGCCCACCAGTCTGGGCAGGAGATAAAGGAAGCCACTCCAAGGCCCACCAGTCTGATCCATGCATAGTACAGGCCATTCCTGCCTTTGTCAACCTGCCAGCCCTTGGCACACGGAGGGGAAAGGGGGTGAGAGCCTGCGTAGGTGCAGGGGGAAGGGTGGGACGAAAGCCACTGCGTGAAGCCTGTGCAGGGCAAATACAAGGGTTCCCCCAAATCTAGACTGAGCGCCCACTGAGGGTAAATCACTGCGATGACAAGAAGGGGGGTGAAGCCCTGTTTCCTGCCTGCAGGACTCTGGGCGCTGGACGGAACTCGAATGAGAAATCACCGTGGGTGGGAAATTGCACCGGGGCGGGGGCTCAGCTGGAGCAAAGACACCTTCAGATGGCTTCCTGTGACCGCGCCCAGCACAAACCACAATGGCACCTCTTAGTCCTCTTCTAAAAGTCACGCGATGCTCATTAACCCATGTGACTAGAAATGTGCGGTTCCAGCAGTAAAGCACTGAAGTTCAAATTCTCTTTGCAGGCTCTCGCCCCAGTGCCTTCCACCAGGGCAGAGAGAAAGGCTTCTTTATGAATAAATACAGAACAAAAATTCTCCTCCAAAAGCTGAGACAGCCCCTGTGAAGAGGGGACAGCAGCTTTAAAGGCTGGCTGTTGCCCAAGGAGGACCTTTGCCCAGGTGGCCACTGCCCCTGGGCAGGACACTGACACCATTCTGAAAGGATGCTGTCTGGGCTAGGAATCAGGTCGCCAAAGCAGTGCGGGAACAGCATCCAGAAGAAGACACTCGAGAGGTCCAAGACTTCGGAGGATCTGCCAAGGACGAGAGGTGGCAAAAACCAACAGGGCTGGTCCACGTGGGAAGTGGCTTCCTCTGGGCATGGCTGCGGGGACACCGAGCAGCTCCTGGAGGGGGTTCCCAAGGGACTGACCAATGAGGGGGTGTGGGAACTGGGACAGGAACACAGAGCTGAAGAAGACACAAGAGAAAAGGAGACTGCAAGGAAAAAAAAAAGAACCTCAAGAAAATGCACAGTGAAGGGCTTGCAGAAGCATTTGGAGAATTCAACAAGGACATGTATATTTTCTACTTACACATGTTTATATCTTAAGAAAGGGAATCTAAAGAGAGAAATTTCCAGGACAGTATGAAGTGGATACAAATATAGATACAAGGATAACTAGAAAATGGACAGATCATGAGTTTTGTAAAGTACTCATGTATTTGAAATCTTCAGACTGGTGTTTCGTGTTCCCACACAGCACTGCATGGGAGGGGACGAGGCGGGCGGTCCTGGTGGAAGTGCAGTGGGGCGGGGGTGGTGGGGCCTCTTCCCGGTCCTCTCTCTCCGCCCGGTGACAGTCTGTGCGCTGGTACAGGCATGCACAGCGATCACTCCATCCTGAAGCATCAGTGCTTCCAGGCGGCCACAGGGCACTGCATAAAAGCCCACGGTATTTCTGGGACTGGGCCTGACACTAAAAACAGCAATAATTGGACTGGCGGTCTTTTTAGTTGTGAATTTGAACTGTGAATGGTCAGGAAAAAAGAAATGCAGTGACATAGAGTTAAATCAAAGCACTGAAATAAACTGCATGTGGAAGAACAGGGCGGCCCAAGAAAGAGCCTCTGTGTTGTGCTGAGAACACAGGCTGTTTCTGAAAAACCCCAGAAAATCTCTTGGGCTAAGTCGATACAGTTTTCTGCAATTATTTTTGAAAAGCAACGGCCGAGGAAATGCTTGGGAGGCACATACAGGTCCGGCACTAATGGACACAGGGTACTGGATGCACCATTCATGAAACATTTAGACACACAGTGTTTCAACGAAAACGATGACACCATTTCTTTAGTAAAATCTGATACATTTAATTTTGGCATAATAGTGATTTATTATGTATTAATTTTTCAAAAACACACTCTCATGCTCACGAAACCCGAGGGCTCGCCTCGAGGCTACAGACAGGCCTTTGCCCCGAACGCCAGGCTGCTGTTGCACTGCAGGCAGTGGGTGCCGTCGCTGGGGTTGTAGGAGCCAGGGCTGCAGATCACTGGAACAAAGTGGGGTGTTAGCAGCATCCTCAAACGCAGGCTAACGAAGAAAGTTTCTTTCCCTTGAAAACTATCATTTTGCTTTTAATTGTGGTAAAATGGCACATAACCTAAAATGTACCCTGCTAGCTGTTGTTAGGTTCAGAGTTCAGCAGCGGTAAGAATATTCACACACCCGCCAGAATGTTTTCATTTGGGAGAAACTGCAACCCTGTACCCATCACTCACCCCCACCTCCCTGCCCCGCCCTCTGCGGCCGCCCGTCCCCGACTCGTTTCTGTGCAGTCGGACACCTCTACGCACCTCCTACAAGTGCAGTGTTAGCCTCCCGCTCTGACCCTGGCTTGGACTGAGACAGTGACCCTGGCTTGGACTCCCTGACCAAGTGGGGCTGGGTTGGAAAGGCCGACTGGGTCACCAACAAGTTACAGCAGAGGCTCCAGAGGCCAGGACGTAGGTGAAACAAGTGTGACCACAATATTGCCCATAATTTACATGTGAAACGACAGCCCAAATATGGAAAGGGCACGCAGCTTATTTCTAACAATACCCCTATTCCGAATCGTATTCCTATCACTTGCTAAATGTGTAATTTTGAAAAAATTACTTAGCCTAACTTAACCAAATCTCATCATCCCTGGCATAGAATAATCTATGGCATGACTATGTCACCACAGTTGGCGCCCGGCTTGGGTGACCAGGCCGGCTGCACCATGGGGCCCCGCAGGACACCTACTGCACGAGGCCATGTTGCCAAGGCCAGGGGAGGTAGTAGCACCATCTAACACACAGCTGCAAGTGCAGACACGCAGACGAAATGCCCAAAGAAACAGGTCACGAAGGAATGAATAGGAGAAATATCCAGAAGAGAAACTAAGTGAAATGGAGACAAACTACCAGATACAGAGTTCAAAACAATGGTTCTAAAGATGCTCAAGGAACTTAGTGAGAACTGCAACAGCATTATGAAGGACACAGAAACCATAAATGAGAACCAGTTAGGGAGGAAGGACACACTAACCAAAAAGAAGAGTAATTCACAGGAAATCAACACTACAGCTGGTGAAACTGAAAATCACAGCCATTGTTTGGAACATAAGGAAGCATGAAACACCCAGTTGGAACAGCAAAAAGAACAAAGAAATCCAAAATAAATGAAGACTGTGTAAGGAACCTCAGGGACAACTTCAAAAGCACCACTGTGCTCATCCTGGGGTGCCAGATGGAAAGGAGAAGGAGCAGGGAATTGAAAGCCCATGTGAAAAACAATGACTGAAAACTTCCCTAACCTGGTGAAGAAAAGAGACACAAGTCCGGAAAGCACTGAGTCCCAAACAAAATGGACCCAATGAGGCCCACACCAAGACACAGCATAATTAAAGACAGAGAGAATCTTAAAGGCTGCAAGGGAAAAGCAATTAGTTATCTACCTACAAGGGAGGTCCTATAAAACTTCTAGCTGATTTCTCAACAGAAACTTCGAAGGCCAGAAGGGATTAGCCAGAAAAATTCAAAATATTGAAAAGCAAGGACTAACAACCAAGACTACTCTACCCAGAAAAGCTATTATTTAGAACTGAAGGGCATATAAAGAGCTTCCCAAACAAGAAAAAGCCAAAGGAGTTCATTACCAAGAAGCTAGTATTACATGAAATGTTAAAGTATCTTCTTTAAGAAGAAAAAAAGATAAAACATATGAACAATAACATGGCAAGAGAGATCAACAATTGAATGTAAAAAATTAAAAAAACACACAGGACAGAAAAAATACATGGGCACATAAACCACAGAATAAAAAGTAATAAATTGAACTTCTTTTTTCTTAAAGCAAAAATGCCAACCTCAGTTGGGAAAATATTTTCACAGCACACATACCAGAAAGAAATTTTGTCCATACTGAAATAAATTAGGTTTCAGTAAAAAGAAAGATCTCTGGAAGTTTCCATACTATTTGAAAATTAAACATCACCAATTGCTTAAATAACCGATTGCTTAAAGAAGAAATCAAGAGAGAAGTGAGCATTTCGAAGTGAGTGAAAATGAAAATACAACATGAGAAAACCCGTAGGCTCTACCGAAGCAGTGTCAGGGAGAGAGCTACACCCGGAAGGACACGGTTACCAAAATGTTTCCAAGGGAACAAAATAAATAATGCGAATAGCCGTTTGTATTAAAGAACTTGAATACTGAGCAGAACCACATTCCAACAACAGCAACAA